AGAGAGAGAGAGAGAGAGAGAGAGAGAGAGAGAGAGAGAAGAAGAAACAGAGAGTATATGGGGGATAAGAACAGGAACATGATGGCTATAATAATTTCATATAAAGTACAGAGTGATTTTAAAACCCCCCAACAAAACTGTACGACTTTTTTTTTTCAAATATCTGGCGCAAAATTTGTTCTACATCTAAAATGTTATAATTTGGAACAGATATAATTAATTCAAAAGTTGTTTGACGTAAAATTCACAACGAAGAAACTTATTTTCGAAAATAGAAATGGCTTTTACAAATGCAAAATGCATCAATTTAAAAGATCTTGTAAGGAATGTGATGAAAAGGTAGGGTTTTTTTTTCTTTCCTTTTATTTTTAAAATCTAACCTTTCCATCCCTGTAACCTTTAAACAACATTTCTTTTCGATTACAGTATATGGAGTTGTTTCTAGAGACAATGGAGGTGGGGAGAGTTGAGGTTGCCCAAATAGACAGCATTTGTGGAGTTGATATAATCTTAAAAGTGAATATGGGCTTTGCTAAGTAACCAAATGTCAGTGAGGAAATATTCACGATTTTCAAGAAGGTCGAGGAATCAAGAACACATTGCTATCCTCTGATAGCTTCGTGAACCGAACAATGTTACAGACGCACTTGAAGATCTGCTTTGAGAATGCGGACCATTCAGATGTAGGAAATTCATTGCTGCAGACATCGTCTACGGACATACGTCTAATGGGGCTCATCTACTGAATTCTGCACCCTGGTGACATTTAAAGGGGTGCTAACGTTGTGTGTTTGAATTTTTAGTTCTGATTCTGTACAGGTCCTAACTGACGGACCATTTCCACCCTTGACATCAAAGAAGGTCTTAAGAGCACTTTAACATTATTTGGGTGCCTTGTGCGAAACTTACGAAATGAGTTAGTGGTGAGGAAATGTTCAATACAAAAAGCTCTCTGCTCTTTACAAATCTTTGCCATGATCTCAGCAGGCAAAGGAAACTTAAGAAAAACTAACTGCAAACCTCTGCTGGCCTGTTAGACTACTGTAGTTTGCAATATGGTGCAATCGTTGAGATTTAGGCCTAATGCAAACTAGTGCACCATGTTACAAGAAAGGAGACAGAGCTGAAAACGGGTTGTTTTTTATGTGTTCTGTAAAGCAAAACTATTCTGTGGATTTATCTAAAATGAATATCAGACAAATTTCTTTTGCCGTCAAAATGTTACGTTCAAATATGAAGCGCAAAACTTCAGTGTGAAGGAAAGTATTAACCAAAAAAATGTGTACAGTTTTTTTTTGGGGAGATCACCCTGTACTTACTGTACATAGCTGTCAAAAGCTATTATCGAATTCGATGTCCTTTCGATTGCGCCTCTCGATCATAATTACATGTATTTAATTTTTATATGAGGGTGGCGTCGGTAGTCTAGTGGTTGGGCAACGGGAGATAGCGAGTTCGAAACTTCGAAGCTCAATGTGGTCCGACGTTGGGTCCTTGAGAAAGGCATTTTACACGAATTTTTACGTTGGCTCGGTCTTATCGGAAAAGGACGTTACATTTGGAGGTCCTGCATCTTAAATATTTTTACAACGATGAAACAGACGTTAATCCAATACAATTTCACGATCTATATTCATATTATAATATCGTAGCTGGACCAACAACTGCTTTGGGGCGTCGCTGTCTCACGCAGGAGATCTAAGTTCGATTCTCGAGGGGTGAGAAATTCTTATCGAATCTTCCTGCTGGGATGTTCTATCCCTCTCAGTCCAGGTTGGCCCTGACAGGCAGGCTCGGAGCCTGCCTCCTAAATGATTAAAATTGTATCGATGGGAGAGTAAAACACGTTTATATAAAAGAACAAATTAAACACAACTGCTAACCGGCACCTGCGATCGAATGGCTGGACTTTTCGCCATTGCACGCAACAGACGCTAAGTTTCATTCCCACATTGGGAAGTAAACTGTGTGAAATTTCTTTGTCTTTCTGCTGGGACACACTATACAGAATCCCATTTTAAATTTAGATGTTTTTACGCCCCCAACGACATAATTCAGATCTTTTTGGAGTCGGGCTTCCAATCCTGTCTGTCAGGGCTAACCTGGGCTGAGAGAGATAAAACATACCAGCAGAACGACTCTATAAAAAAAAGTTTACTCCCACCTAGGAATCTCTTGCGTGCAACAGTGAAGCACCTAACCGCTAGACCATAGACATCGGTAGGTTGGCTCTGGCTGGCAGGAAGGAGCACTCCCTCTCCTGATATATGGTCTAAAATAGTCGGACAATTTGACATCAAATTTCTCAAAACTAGGTACTGAGCAGATAAAACTTTGTAAGCTTAATTCTAGGGTAGTAATGTGTCTTAATAATTTATTCTTCTCTTTCTTGAAAATCATACAAGCTTTTCGTCCTTCCTCAAATTTCACATCTTATTACTTATTAATATTATCCAGATCCTCCTGATCTTGGTGCACAGGAGGGTGATCCAACCTTCACCGAGCAGAACGACGTAATACTCCGTTTTCAATCGCCCAAAGGTAACTTTTGCAACTGCAGCGCCTGGTTGATACCCTTGGCCAGGGATGGAACGGAAACTGACAGGTTAGTTTAACCTTTTGAAGTCGGCACTTCTACTATTGTCGTTGTCATGGACAGATGCTTCGTACTGGGAGGTTTTTTCGTCCTCATTTGTCATAATATCTGCTTGCCTGTACTTTACTGTAACCTCACACTATACCAAGTCTTCATTCTTTTTGACAATTTTAGGGGCTAACGTCTTTATTGTCTTTACACAAGGATGAGGGTGAGATATATATATATATATATATATAGATAGATATATATATAGATAGATAGATAGATAGATAGATATATAGAGAGAGAGAGAGAGAGAGAGAGAGAGAGACAGAGACAGAGACAGAGACAGAGACAGAGACAGAGACAGAGTGAAAAAGAGAAAGAAAGAGGATTACTATAGGAGCTGTGCGCTGCATCTGTTGGAAATGCGCTATATAAATGCAATTTATTATTATTATTAATGACATACGTGTTACTTGAAACATATTTTTAGATCTATATTTTTATGCTGAAAATGCTAAGGTATTCATATTTCAAACCGAATTGTTGCGATTATAGAGGGAACAGGCTTACGACTTGTAATAGTTTATTACTTCACCACCACAATAACGTAAGAGTTAATTTAGAGACCCCCCCCCCAACCCCAGCCAACACCGCCTTGTAGTCTCAATTCAAAGTTACGAAATACGTGTGTTAACGTTGTGAATAGGTTTTCATTTAATTTTGTGTATATATGTCAGTGCTTGTGTAAGTGATAGAGGGAGAGTGTACGAATGTGTGTGTGTGTGTGTTTGTTTGTTTGTGTGTGCGAGTGTGTGTGTCTATATTATTATGTGCGTGTGTGTGCGCGTTTGTGTGTGTATGTGTGTGTGTGTGTGTGTGTGTGTGTGTGTATTATTATGTGCGTATGTGTGTGTATGTGTGTGTGTGTTTGTGTGTTTGCGTGCGCGTGTTTGTGTGTGTGTGTGTATATTATTATGTACGTGTGTGTGTATGTGTGCGCGCGCGTGCGTACGTGTGTGTGTATTTCTGTGCGTGTGTGTGTATTTGTGTGCGTGTGTGTGCGTGCATACGTGTGTGTTTTGTTATTTTACTTTTGCGTTGTTCTGTATCATCGTTAATTGAGGGAGTGGAGGGTGGTCTCTTTTTGTCGCGTTGGAGGAAGGTGGGTGCGGGGCACTGGTTTCACTTCACCACGCCCAATCCCAAAACCGCTTTTTCCACTTTTTCGAATGACGTTCAGTAAGCCTACATGCCCCCTGCCTGTCACATTCTGGGTACACAAAAGAAAGCCCAGACGTACAAGACTCCCTGTTTGCTCTTTTTGATTTGACAGTGTTCCCTCAAGATCGGAGACGTTCAACTGCACTTTGCTAAATCTTCACGGACTTCAGAGGGGCATTCTGTACAAGCTGAATATCGTCTTGACGGATTCTTTTGGCAGACATCCCAAGAATGTTTCCTCGAAATTTGAAATCCCTCCATCAAGTATATCCACTCTTCACATCGTCAGATCGACCTCTTATTTTGAAAAAATCTGTATTCCATTTTAAAAAATCAATCTTTTCTGTGATGTAGTACAGCCATAACATCGCATCACATGGCTGTCATAATATGGGCTATGTTTGAATGTGAGAACTAAAATAAATAGATAGATAGATAGATAGATAGATAGATAGATAGATAGATAGATAGTTAGATAGATAGATAGATAGATAGATAGATAGATAGATAGATAGATAGATAGATAGATAGATCAATAGATAGTTAGAGGAAGAGAAAGAGAGAGATAGATAGATAAACAGAGAGAAAGAGAGAGAGAAGAGAGAGAGAGAGAGAAGAGAGAGAGAGAGAGAGAGAGAGAGAGAGAGAGAGAGAGAGAGAGAGAGAGAGAGAGATTACTGTGGAGCTTTTACGTTTCAGGAGAACAACAGACAGAAGAACGGGCTAACGTGCTTGGCAAACTGAGCCGTCAACGCTCATCTAGATGTAGAATGATATTCTGGAAGTTATAAAATGGGAATGATATGGGCTAAAGGTCTCTTTCAAAATGTTTAGTTATTGAAAAGCTTTTAATCAATGTAATGTTATTGATACGTCTCTAGCACCGGCGTCCGTGGTGTAGCGGTAGGCGATTTGTTGTCGCACATACAAGACCCAAGAGGTTTTTATCGAGCATCTCGGTCTTTCCTCTGGGAAAAAAGTATCCCTCTTAACCCGGTTTCGACCTGACAGGCAGGGTCGAAGCCTGCCTGCCAAATGATCTAAATTAAGTTAATGAAAGTGCAAATACATACGTATATATACATGTATATACAAAAAGGTAAAAGCAAAAAGAATTCTTTTGATTTGTAAGTCTTTATGAAAAATTGTGTCTATGGGAGCGTAACAAACTTACATAAAAAATCAAATTAAGCCAAATCCGCCATCTGTAAGCCCTTGAACGGAAGGAAAAACAAAAGAGGGGGGGGGGGGGTATTTTCCGAACCCATCCAGGCCTTACGACAAACTTGAAATCAACGAGAGTTCACCTTTATTCGCCTTCTTGATCTTCCTCTCAATACTACGGGCGTCTGTGGTGTAGCGGTTAGAGCCTTTCGTCGTCACACATAAAAGACCCGAGTTCGATTCCCTGAGAGGGGATAATTCTTATCGAGTCCCTCCGTCTTTCTGTTGGGAGCTATCTCTTTCTCAACTGAGAGTGGCCCTGATAAACAGGGTCGAAGCCTGCCTCCTAAATAATGTAAAGTCTATCGATTGGGGCGAAATGGTAGGGTGTTGGGGGGGGGGGGTAAGAACACCTACATTTACATTTTTCTCTCTCCACACAGAACCCGGCCCTGTCTCACAGTTACGATTTGACTCTATAACCAGCAGCTCGGCGCAGATCAAATGGCTGCCACCGGAAATGCCCAATGGTTACATACAAACGTATCACGTTTTCACACAGAACGCAATATCTGGTCACTGTCTGATGTCAGTTGTGATCTCATACAAACTGGAGAAAGACGATGTGAACCCATCAGCCCTCGGAACAATAGATGGTCGCAAGCTGGAAGAGGTTTGTTTTGCTTTAGGTTTTTTGGGGGGTTTTTTGGTGGTGTTTTTTAATATGTGTTTTGCGGTGTTTGCAAGTGCATAAGGTCATATGAGCGAGCTGGACACATTAACTTAAACATTTTCAGTTGGTAGGAAATTTTAAATTTTGTCCTGGTGGAAGCCGAAGCCTACTCTGATCGATTTTGGACAACCAATGGATCTTTAACTTGCCCAACTTGCACACAGGGCCTCCGAGATTTTTCGCCCTTGTCCGAGAAGGCTAGATGTAGAACTTTCCTACCATAAGATCGGGGGGGGGGGGTGTCTGAAAGACAGAAGTAAGAAGGAGCCAAGGAGTATCAGTAGAAAGGCTGCAGAAAGAGTCAGGTGCCCAGAGGAGGGGGGAAAGGAGGTGAGGGGGTAGGGCAGAAAGTGGAGACGAGAGCAGATAGAACATAAAAGGAGAGAATCTTTTAGAGGAAGAAAATTGTGTGAATGAGAGTGTAAATAATATCTAGAGATCTACATAAAATAGGTGATAACGAATTGATATCTTTTGATTTCAAAATTGTGTAGGTCAAACGCCCCTTGCAATGCTGGGGGGTTATTTAAGAGACTGGACTTCTAAATGTAACGTCTGTCTCCGAAAGGACCAAGCGAAAAGGGAAAATTTGTGCAAAGTGCCTTTCTTAAAGGATACAACGTCAGATCGCAGACTGAACTGAGCCTCGAACCCCGACGCCTTATTCTCACGAGTTTGAGTCCGGTTGTCTAACCACTAGCCAACAGACGCCACTTTAGCTCTATGTACTGCTTCGAGCTAACGAACACTGCCGCGTATGTTTTTCAACTAGTTTTCTTTTTGTTTGCGTTGCTTCATATTGTTAGTCTTCAAATCTAAGTAAAAAATGAGGTGTTTATTTATTTTTGAAAAACTATTTTGCACTCAATTTCCAGTTTCTTTTTATTTGTTTTGTACCATATAGTGGGTTCTAAATGTTTCTGATTATGAACCAGATTAATTCAAATCTAAGTAAAAAATGTGGGGTTTATAAAAAAAAAATTAAAAAATTATGCTCTCAATTTCCAGAACCCAGGAAGTCGAGGACAAGATTCTTTTGTAGACTGTGATAAGAGAAAAAAACTGACAAGTGCAGAAGTGGACCAGGGAGATGATTCCGAAAAGAAGCTGTTTATTGATGCACTGAAACCATACACTTCGTACAACGTGACAGTCTGGGCAGAAAACAGAGGGGACTTGGTTGGTCAGCTTAGCTCGATCTCTTTTATGACAAGCTCTTCCAGTAAGTGTATCATCATCATCATCATCATCATCATCATCATCATCATCATCATCATCATCATCATCATCATCATCATCATCATCATATTTATTTCACGACGCAATGGAACCAGGCGCTCGTCAATTTTTGGGCATAGGGAGTTATTGATATAAACTTAAAGATTGATCTTTGTCTTGCTTTTGACGAACAAAAAATCACCCATCTATCTTCAATAGAAGCCGAAGTATTTGAAATGGAAAGAGGTGGGGGTCGCCTGGTTTCAGGAGTAAAATAAGCGAGGAAATGGCTGCCAAAGTTTGGCGACTTCCAAAGCTGGAAATTCTATGGAAACTGCATTTCTTATTATCAAAGTTTTTTCCAGTGAAATACACACATGTTTTTGAAAGGACATAAACTTTCTTGCGCCCCCAAAAAAGAAACAAACTAAAAATCGATAAAAATTACCAAACAAACGAAAATATGCCCATTTCTTTGATTTGTATGAGTTTGCTTTTTACTAAAGAGAAACAAATCGATACGATACTGGTCTTTTAGTTTAGTGCTAAAAAATAGTATGACAGACAGGCAGATAGAGGGAAAGTTACAAAGTAGGACCAAACAGAAAGTTTGAAAGAAAGAAAGAAAGAAGAAAAGAAAAACAAAGGATAGATGAATGAAAAAAGAAAGAAAGAACGAAAAAAGAAAAGAAAGACATGGATATATGAATAAAGAAAGAATGAAAGAAAAATGTAAAATAAGGGAAAGAAAGGAAGAAAGAAAAAAAGAAAGAAGAAAAGAAAGAAATGCATAGGTGAATAAAGAAAGAATGAAAGAAAAAAGTAAGATACGGGGAAGAAAGGAAGAAACAAAGAAAAAAAAGAAGGAAAGAAAGAAAGAAAGAAAGGAAGAAAGAAAGAAAGAAAGAAAGAAAGAAAGAAAGAAAGAAAAATGTTACGACTTTCCCTTTGATGTTCCTTTTCTCCTCACTCTTCTTACTCCACTCAGTCCCAACCACGCCTGTAGACTTCCATGGAGTGGCGCAGAGCGCTTCTAGCATTCTGCTCAACTGGAGTCATGACGGGACCGCGGAAGATGATTAATTTACGAATGGGAGATTCAAATGATATTTTACCTACAAAAGGAAGAAAAACGAAAGAAAGAAAGAAATGAGGAAAAAAAGAAAGACTGAATGAATGAAAGAATGAAAGAAAGAAAGAAAGAAAGAAAGAACGAAGAAAAAAGCAATTGATAGATCAATAAAGAATGAATGAGTAAAAGAAAGAAAGAAAAATAAGGGAAAGAAAGAAAGAAAAAAAGAAAGAAAGCAAGACAGTAAGAAGAGAAGAAAGAAAGAAAGAAAGAAAGAAAAAAAATGTTACGATTTTGTCTTTGATGTTCCTTTTCTCCACACTCTTATTCCACTCAGTCCCAACCACCCCTGTAGACTTCCATGGAATGGCACAGGGCGCTTCTAGCATTCTGCTCAACTGGAGTCATGACGGGACCGTCTACCCCGGACCAACAAACTACACAATCAAGGTGTACGATGTCCCACCAGGAGGCGAAAACGGGGTAGAGACAATGGTCAAAAGTTTAACTATACAAGGTGGGTAGTTCGTTAATATTTACTTATTACTAATGGGTACCTGACTTTGGGTTGGGGAAGTAAAGGCGGCGTGGAAAGGAACTGGCCACCCTATCACAATAATGCTGAAGGCCCAGGAAGTTGTCTCATTAACAAGGCAATCCCCAATGTCCGGATCGGATGCGGGAACAACTTTACTTTTACTCTCTCCCAATACCGTCAGGTACATAAGGCGGAGAGCAGTTGACGCCCCGTTTGTCTGTCCTTGGCCACGTTCTCCAATTTCGGCAAATCCTGGCCCTTGGTGATTGCTTCATCCGTTATTGTGCCATTAGTATTTATTGGAAGTAAAATAGACAGTCATAACAGAGGCAAAAACCGGCGTGAGTCTGTGATGTAGGTTAGGAGCCTCGCTGTAGCACACAGGAGACCCGAGTTCGATTCCCGAGTGGGGGTAAATTTTTTATGGAGTATCTCTGTTTTTCTGCTTGGATGGTGTATCCTTCTCAGCCCAGGATGGCCCTGACTGGCAGGGTCGGAAGCCGATCTCTTAAATTGTGTTAATGGAGGCGTAAAACACTACAAAAAAAGATGTACAAAGTAGGTGAGTCCACCCATAAGGAGGAATTAATGAACACGTTGACCACATATATTTCGGAGAGATTTGTTCCTTCCCTCAGAGATATGTTTCGCCTGTTGAGTTGTTAAGTCTTGACAGAAGATCTTAACGCAGTATGCCTGATACAGCTTTGCTTGGGCGGTAGAGTTTGAGTGAAGAGAAGCACATCAACACAATAACGGTCACACAGTGCAGGGAAAGAAGCAAGACAGAAAGATAGACAGAAACAACAGAGGGAAAGTAAAAAAGTAGGACCTACCAGTGGCGCTCTCCGTTGTGAAGGACAACTACGCAGATTTGTTTCGTTTTTCAGTGGAATAATCACACAAAGGCTAAAGAAGGACGGGAACTTTTTGTCAAATTCAGGAAATGAATAAATAAAAAATCGGGCTCCATCATGAGGACAATCTTTGTGCAGGTACTTGCCAATTTTCAACTCTGTAGCTGTCGTAGTTTTATGGGAAAAGTGACACACGTGTTTCCAAATTGCCAAATATTATAATACATGACGTACTTTCGACAACATAGCGTCACACAGAAGAGTGAAAGCTCAGAAATTGACGAGTCAACAAAAACAACAACAACACCACCACCACTAACATCAACAACAGCAACTGCAGCAGCAGCAGCCGCCACAACGGCAACAACAAAAACAACTGCTACTTTGATTCTCCTTCCAACAACAAGTGTGATCAGCGGCCACAGTCACTTCCATTTTGTGAATGTGCTAATGGTATGTGAGCTTTGTCAGAATTTGTATATTTCGGATGCATATTATATGAAGTATTTTATAGGATATGCTGAACAATGGAGGGTCTGGTATACATGAAATCCGTCATTGTGTAAGCTGTCGAAATTTTTATTTTATTGTGACGCGCATAAAACCACTAGGAAGGGAGTACAATAAGGTTGGCCCTGACAGGCAGAGTTTGACGTCCGCCTCCGAAATTGGGTCGATGGAGGCGTAAAAACGCCTCTTCTTTTTAGAACAATACAAAGTTTTATCATTAGGGGGTTGTTTCGACCAAAACGTTTTTTTAAAAAAAGGGGAAAGAACTTGTATTGTGAAATCTGTTCAGATGGTGTCAACGGAGGACAATGCGTCGCTTCAGAGCTGTTTTGTCCAAAGTGTACTTAAGTAAAGAGGTACTTTACATTATCAGTTGTACAGTTGGACAGACAATCATAATTGCATTCTGGCTCACATCAGCCGACTGAATATTTTCAGCTCAGTTTCCTGTGCACTTGACAACAAATGTCTAGTGTTTACATCGTTTTGTGCCAGGCAGAAATTAACGACTCTTACGCACTTCCCTCACAAGAATTGAAAACGAGACTGCATGTTGAAGTCGGTGGTCTATTTTTACTCTAACCACGCCTACCATGTAAGACATCTAGATCTAGTGGGATGAACGTGTGACGTGCCTGCAAGGGTTGGGGTGACCAGAGTTCTGACTTTGAATTGTTTTCACCGCCGGGTTGACCAAGGAAGGGTTTAATAAATTAAAGCATGAGTTTCTAAATGTCTTTTGAAAGCATAATGTCACGGTTATGTCCTTAACTGGGCTTAGCCTTGCTGTTGCATCGTTACTTTGCTTTTGAAACTAGCCAACCGTTATCATTAATTCCCAGAGTAGCCATACAGCTCTATCCAAAACAATCTCTTAATATATTCACCTAGAAATAAATCTCTGGCCAACAAAATTTAACTTTAACAAAAAATGGATCTGTTTTGCTCTTACACGTCAAGTTTTTTCTCTATGGCATAACCACTGTTTTTGCGTATACAATTGAATTAGCTATATCAATAACAATAAATGCCAACTTTGTTCAGAGAAAGGGGAAAATGTGAGACAACAAGGCTTTCTTATATTCGTATAAATCATGTCAATATTCAATTTCACAATAACGATGCGTATAACATTAAAAAATAGTATACGAACTTAAGTTGGAGACATTATATTCATGACAGACTTCCTTTAGCGGGATTGTCTGGAGTGCGTGGTGTCTGGACAGTCTCTTTGATTGCTTTAACAGTAACCTGCCTTTGTGGTGGTGTCCCGTCGGCCTTGATTCCCCTCCTCCATTATCGAAAAGTCTAAATGAAATCTTTTACATTGTTCATCATTAATATCACGAAAGTTTTGAAGAAAATCATCTAAATGACTAATCAAAAAATGAACCGTGTTGCTTGTGTTGTAGCCCAAGAGATGGAAATTTTATTACAGGGTTTTGACCATGTTCTTGGGATTTTCTATTTTTCTGTTGCCAAAAAAAGTTTCATCAAAGATACAAATGATTCCCAAGCTCATATTTCTGAAATTATGTTACTCATCGAAGCTGTGATCAGCTTTCTGGTTTGGGGGACACTGAAAACACGAGCCCTAATTTTTTCGCAACTGATATAAGGAAAAGCTGTACATTTTAATATACTTGAAACAGACTCCCCTCAAAGTCCACGGCTTTCACGAATTACTTCATCAAGCCTAATTTGATATGAAGAGGAGGTACCCAATGCATGTAACAAACCTGGTACGTTGAGACAGAAGACAGAGTCTTTGTATATATTGCAAAGTACTGTAATAGTTCCTGTTTCCTTCTATAATAGAACTATCTTTATAGCATTATTTAAACATATTTTTTCCTTCCGGTCCTGAAACCAAAAGTTCTGATCAACCGTTGTCAGACCATTCAATTCTAGACGACTAAAACAACTGGGATTTGAAATCGATTTGATTTTCATCTGTAGACACACTACTTTTAAGAAACCTCTAAATCTGTTTTTAGTCCAAAAAGCGAGTTTTATAGGCAAACCAATACTTTCGCAAGATTGTTTGACAATCTCTTGTGAAGATTGAAGGTCAGAGTGGATAGTGGTTGAGCTACATTTTTGTATGGCACGTGCAGGGATATAGTTGTGTTTTATCACGTTTGTAGCGCAGAAATCTTGGCATAATTGAATTTTATTGATCACTTACATATTTTGGATGAAAAGTCATGGATTTAAAAGTTCAACAAATTACTATGATTCATTAAAGCGAAGTTTTAACGGAAACTATATAGGTAATGCAGTGTGAAAACTCCTGAATTTGGTCATATTTATATTAAAATATCAATTTTTAATAGAGCAAAAACTTGACGTGATACGCAAAAATTAAAGCTCATTCTGAAATCAGCGACCCTAAATTAACCAAGAACGAGTCTTAAACCTCATGCCTCAAAAAGTGTGTAAACCAATGTAATTCAGGGTGAGTGTGGGGGGGGGGGGTGTATTTAAAAACTACAATGTCTGGCAACATTACTTGCATAATAATAATAACGATAATAATAGATAACATCTGTATAGCGCAAATCCCCGCTTAACAGCAAGCTCTCTGCGCTTCACAATCTATACTGTTGCCCCAGCAGACCCGAGAGCATTCTGAAACAACCTTAACTTCCTGGGAAGCATAGAGTTGCAAGCAGCCAAATATAGGCACTAAAACACTAACATACTGACAATATCTTTCGCTGTTTATGGCCGGGTACCCATTCCCATCTGGGCGTAGGGAGGAAAATTCGTGTAAAATGCCTTTCCCAAGGACACAACTTCGGGCCCGTGGATCGAACCCCCGAACCCGCAGCCTCACGATTACGAGTCCGGTAGCCTAACCACGCATGCAGATGTCTATCACAACAGAGAGCTCTAAAGTCCGCCGAGGGCAGAGGCATAACGAAAGTTAAACCTTTGCTATTTTAAAGCAGGAGAGACAGAGGATGGTATAATATTATTCAGATTAGAAAAGCTGTGATAATGTCAGCAGGCATAGTGTGTCTGTGTGTGTGTGTGTGTGTGTGTGTGTGTGTGTGTGTGTGTGTGTGTGTGT